AGGATTTGGTGACTGAATATGGGGTTGATGGTAATTCCTGGATTTGTGGCTTGGTAAACTAAGTTATTTAAGACTGAGAATCCTGTAGGAGGGACAGATATGAGGGGAAAGAGTTTTATTTTGGCTGTGTTGTAAGGGGTGCCTATGAGATATCTATGAGGAATTTTCTAGTAGGCAACTGAATTGGATCTGGGAGAGATGAGGTAATGATCCCTCAGAATTTACAACTGAAGGATTAGATAAGATCACCCAGGTTGTGTCTAGCAAAGTAAAGAATAAAACTCAGAGATAACATTTAAGGACTGAATGAAGGGAGACCCACAAAGCAGGAAAAATGTTTGCCTTGAGAAAGAAAAAGGGGTATAATCAAAAGTGACTGGTGCCATAAAGGCCAGGATAGGAGAGAGTTTCAAGACTGGTCACAGCTGCAGTGAGATGAAATAAAATAAGACTGAATTGTGTTTACTGAGTTTGGCAGATGAGCGGCCTTTAGCAATGCAGTTAAAGCAGTAACGCAGAGAGATAGGGAAATCAGTCACATTGTAGCTGGTCTGAGGAGCTTACCAGAGGTGAAGGAGTATAGATGGGGAATATAAAGTAATCTCTCAAGAAGTTTACCTGGGGAGGGAATGAAAGAGATGGTGACATCTTGGGGTGCAGAGGCACGTACAAATGTTCTATCAACATGATGACAAGACTGAAGAAAACACATTGCAAATTTGTTAGAATATCAATTTGCAGAACATTTGGAATTTTTCTCTTTTCTCGAGATCTCAATCTAGAGTCATCCTGGCTGATGCCATGAAGTAGGGACATTTTTCTTAGAGGCTCCATCATCCCTCTTGTCTAGCTCTCTCCTCCAAACCATTCCTACAAACACAATGGTATCCTACCCAGGCTTGAGTTCCTGGAAATGTTTTCTTTCTTTCCTCAACAAAACTTACTGGGTGTCCTGGATATGACAGTCAATTTGCCTGCCATATGTAACTTTCCCTCCTGGTTTAAAATGTCACATGAAGAGCTTCAGAATGACTGTCATTCAATGCTTCTCCCTCTGTCTTCTTTCCCACTGAGACATGACTGTTTGGACCAGTGATGAACACCCCTCCCAAAGCAGCCAATCCAGTGCTAGACAATGGTTTAAGTGTCCTGGTTAGAATAAATAGGCTGGGCCAACTATATTCTCTCCTTGGAGAAACTGGATTCTGAAACAGCTATTGTGGGGACATTTGAGAGTAAGGTCCTGAAGTGGTTACCAATCAGCTCATGGATGTGTTTGTAATTTCTTCAGATATCCTTAAAATGTCCTGTGCTCCCTACCACTTAAGATGAGCTGCTTGTCCTGGTGTGGTGGCTCACACCTGTAATCTCACCACTTTGGGAGGCCGACATGGGTGGATCACGAGCTTGAGATCAGCCTGGCCAGCATAGTAAAACCCTGTCTCTACCAAAAATACAAATATTAGCAGGGCGTGGTGGAGGGCACCTGTAAGCTCAGCTACTCGGGAGGCTGAGGCAGGAGACTAGCTTGAACCTGGAAGATGGAGGTTGCAGTGAGCCAAGATTACGCTACAACACTCCAGCCTTGGTGATGGAGGGAGACTCCGTCTCAAAAAAAAAAAAAAAAAAAAAAAAAGATGAGCTGCTTAAGTGAATTTTGCTCACCTGCAACCAAAATCGCCCTGACACCTGGGCTAGACCACAACAGCTATTGTTCTATTCTCTTTAGCTATGCTATATGAGGTCCTAGTTAAGTGACTTACTGTAAGCATGGTGAGTAATCTTCTGTCTTCTATTTTACATTTAAATGATACTGTATGTGTTCAATGTTCTCTTAATATGATAAAAAGTGTTTTCTTTTTTGAGTGAATTGATACAAATCATCATTTGACAGATAATAACAAGGGATGACTCCTGTTATAGCACCTTAAACACACAGGGGTTTATTCTCTCTTAAAAAGGAAGTGCAAATTTAATACTTTGGGGTGGTGGTAGCTTCATGGTGTCAAGGGACTATGGCTTGGCTTACTCTATGTTTCTGCTCTGTGATCCTCAGGGCTTGGCTTCCACTTTTAAGGTCCCCACATGACCTAAGTAGGCTGCTGGGCCACCAGTCATCATGAACCACCATGTTAGCTAATGTTTGCTGCAATAATCCTGAGTAACGAACCAGCTAAAGACCTAGTAGCTTACAACAATGGGCATTTTTTTGTCTCATTCCTACAGGTCTGCTTCAGGCTGCAGGTTGGCTGAACTTAGCTACCAGTTGAAGTTTAGGTCTGCATCATATTTCTCCACATTTATCTTGGACCAGAAGCTAGCTATCTAGGCTACTGGCAGAATCAGACCTGGACAAATCAAAACATGGGAGTACTTTCCAACCCTCTGTTCACATTATGTTCAGTAACGTCCCATTGGCCAAGTAAGAAAGATGGCCAATTAGCTGGGCTTGGTGGCATGCACCTGTAGTTCCAGCTACTCAGAAGGCTGAGGCAGGAGAATCAGTTGAACCTGGGAGGTGGAGGTTGCAGTGAGCCGAGATGGTGCCATTGCACTCCAGCCTGGGCAACAAGATGAAACTATGTCTCCGAAAAAAAAAAAAAAAAAAAAAAAAAAAAAAAAAAAAGATGGCCAAGCCTAAAATCAAGGTGTAGGGAAACACACTCCAAGTAGCATAAAAGTTGGGTTGTGGGTTGTCTAATTCAATTGAGGAAGGGAGTGAATAATTGAAATTAATAATCTCACCTACCACATGATTATCATTCTATCTGAATCCCAGGAGGGAGGAAGGAAAAGGGACAAAGGCGTGCATCTGTCAGCCACATCACATCAGCATCTTTAAGGCATCTACTGAAAGTCCAATACAGCACTTGCAATTACATTTCATTAGCCAGAAACTTTTCATATGGCCATTCCTTGCTTCGAGGGAGGCTGGAAAATGTATTTTTTCAAATTGCGGGTTGCAATATGCTCAGCTAAAAAAAAATTTTTTAAATACCAAATCAGAAAAGAAAATAGGTGTTGAGTAGGCAACTGACAATTTATTTGCCAGTGTTCAACAAGATGCATTATGGGTATCCCTCACTCTTGCGAAGTAATCTGATAACTTTAGGTGCTCATTGTGATTGCTTGGTATGTGTATAACTAGTTAATATTTAAATCATGACAATCCAGCCAGTAATTAAACACTGCAAGACTGCTGCTTTGCAAGGAAGAAAACACAAGTCATCTGATTTCTCCTTCACAAAACTTAAACCTTTTACTAAAACTCAGTTTATTTAACTTTTATTTTTTCCCAAAATTTAGGTGATAAGGCCAGGAAGAGTGGCTATAAAAAGAAAGTATGTAAGTATTTCAAGGACACTTGTCTACAAGAGAGATTTCTAATGGGCTCTTCCTTCCCGTTTTTACTCAAATGTTACCTTTCCCGACCACTCAACTTACATAAACACATTCCCTTTTCCCTGGTTCATTTATCTTCATACTATTTGTCACCATACTTGTTTATTATCTGTCTCTCCCTTCTAGAAGGTGAGTGACTTGAAGGCAGGGCATTTTTTCGTGCTCACCTTTGGTGAATTTTATTACCGAAAATGGTCCTTAATGATGACTTCAGGGTAGCTGGCCGACAAACCAGCTAGAATCAGGAGTTATTTTTCTCACAGCGGCATCATGGGGTGGCTGCAGCCATTCTGGAACCTTGAGACAACAAGTCTGAAGAGAAAAGGCGGGATGTTGAAGGTGGCCACGTGGAATCCTGGAAGGAGACTGAGCCCTAACGTTGTCCTTGAGCAGCTGAACACACGCAGAGCAGGCTTCTTCCAGGCTTCTTGTTATGTGTGATAAAGAGAAATACGGCCCCTGCCACCTGGGAGCTGGCCTGGTTCTATCGGCGCGGCCTTGGCGTTCTGTGGAGCATAAAGTTTCACAGAGCAGCCAACATCAGACGCGACAACAGACAAGACCACTTTGTGACTTGGTTGATAAATGCAAAAGCAAGACCACTCTGTCATCACGCCCACGGCCCTGTGGAGAGGAGAGTATGGCTGATGCAGGGAATTCATTGTCTTTCACAAGAGAGTTCTGGGAGCCAGTACCCGGGAACGTGGGTCCCCAGACCCCGCACTGCAGACCCGAGGGACCTGCAAATATGAGGAACAGGTGTGTGGTGCTGGGAAGAAATACAACAACGCGAGGGGCCATCGCGCTGCCTTCAGATGGTACCAGGAAGCCACTAGGCTGGAGGAACGTTTTGCAGCCGTGGGTGTGGACCAGAGTGTAAGCAGGCCCCCGAACCTGGGGGGCAACAAGTGCGTTAGAGTGGGGCTGCCCTGGGACCTGGAGTCCGTGTGTGCCAGTAGCGGGAATGGGACAGGAGGAAGGCAGGGGTGCGGAAAGTCTGGCCCTGCACTGCAGGGAAGCACGAGGATGGCTGGCGGTCTTGGGGTCGCCTTTGGGCTGCGCCCCCTACCCACAGAGAACAGGGGCAGAGCGCAAGTTCAAAACCTGGCACGGCCAGGTTCCACGGCGGAGCTTCGCAGGGAAGGAGAGCAGAAAGGCTGGACTGCGCGGGCCGGGAGGGGCGGGACCGCTGAGGGGTCACCGGGGAGAAGCTGGGAGTGTGGGAGCAAGTTCAAAGCCCGGCCGCGCCCGGCCTCTAGGGCCGGGAGCTGCGTGCACGCCGGGGCCGGCGCAGAGAGGGCGGCGGCGGCTGGTGCGCTGTTGCTAAGCCCCGCGCCCCCGGAGACGTTCCCGGTGGCTGTCGCCGGGCGCGGCGCGGCGCGGGGCTGGCGGGCGGGCGGCGGGAGGGAGAGAAGAGGGAGAGTCGGCGCGGGCTCGAGGCTGCTCGTCGCGCCCCGCCTTCCCGCGCCTGCTCGGCCGTCGAGCCGCGTCCCAGCGCTGTCACCTCTGCTCTAGGCTCGCCCAGAGCCCACTGCCCGCCATGCCCGCCGCCACTCCAGCCCCGAACCCGCCGCCGCCCCCGGCCCGGCCAGCCCCAGCCTGCCCGGCGCGGCCTGCCCCAGGTGAGTACCGCGCGCCCCAGCGCCGATCGTTCCGGGCGCCACCTTGGCGGGGGTGGGAGGGCTCTTTCGCCCGAACTCCGGACCCGCTCGGTGCGGGAGGGAGCAGCCGTGCCAGACCCCGCGGGGGTGTACGAAGGACTGTGTGTGTGTGTGTGTGTATGTGTGTATGTGTGTGTACACGTGCGCGCGCGGGTGTACACCACCTGAAACTCGCTTGCTAGGGGAAATAACGCGGTCCGGAGCTGATTTTATTTCCCTCCCCAGCAGGGGTCCCTTCCTGGGAAACGCACTGGGCATCTTTCAAGGTGCAGGTGCGGTGAGGCTGCAGAAGAGCAAAGGCGCAGAGAGGGAGCTGACATTTCTTGAGCAACTCAACATGACAAGCGCTTTACCTAGAGTTAACCCTACTTCATCCTCTCCACAAATCTGTAAAGAATGGAATTATCCCCATTTCTCAGATGAGAAAACTGAGGCCCACAGAGCTCGTGCCTTGCCCAGGGTCACATGGCTCCATAGTGGCCGGGCTGGAGCTGGAACCCAGGTTTCTAGAGGTCTCTGACCCATCTAAATGACAAGAAACTCTCCTTAGAACTAAAGAAACACAGAAAAACCAAAGATGATTAGGAAAAATGATACAGGCAGAGCATTTGGGAATTAATTGGAAAAAAAAAAAAAAACAAAAAACCCTGAGCTCGTGAAATATCCTTTCAATTAATTTCAAATACAGGACCACATTTCACTCCTTTCCATGTCTGTCTCTGGGGGCGAGATGCGGTGAGGAAGGGAGAAGTCTGTGCCAGTGCTGGGCAGAGGCGTCTTGGGACACCTTTTCAGAGTATCCGCCTGCTGGGAGGGGGGAAGTGTGTGAGAAATTGTGGAGGGAACTCGGTTATTTGTTCCTGACAGCTAGTCATTCTGTCACCTCACCTCCTAGTTGATTCCATTTCCTTTCCTTGATGTATTGTCCAAGAAGACAGCTGTCAAATTAAAGTGGGGTCCCACCTTCATCACTGGCTGTCCTAAGGCCTCTTGACATTAATTAGGTGGCCCTGCACTTGGGTAATTGTATTAGGAGCTGTGTTACTGCTTACAGGGGAGATCTGTTGGGCTGATGTTGAGCTAATGATCTCAGTGGATGAGGCATCTTGAGCAATAGGCAAGAATTGTGCTTATCCTTAGGACAAAGCAGCAAGAAGCAAGACCCTCAGGAATTAAAAAAAATAAGAGTATTGGGTTTGCCTCACAGCCCAGCTTTAGAAAAGCATTTCAGTTTAACATTTGGATTGCCTCACTGAAGAAAGAACAAAGTGGGGCAGAAAATGATCTCTGAAAGCTGTTCTGTAACTCATTTCATTTAGGTTTGAAATCATTTTGGGTCATGTTCTTTTATGGCCAGGTTTGCTATCTTGGTGCACACTGGTACCCTGGGTGCCTTCACTCCCAATTGTCCGTCCCTCCATCTCTTTTTTGGAGGACGACCCTTGGGCTGCAGAGCCTATGTTTGTTGTGACCCAGAACAGTGAGTACCTGGGAATTTACATCTCCCCTGGGGCAGTCCCTATTCAATGACTGAAGGGTACTGGAGTATAAATAGTCCAGCTCCTTTGCCCTTGATTGGGACACTCTGAAGCATGATATCCTTTGTTTCCAGAGATCCAGTGTGGAGTGGCGTCAAGTTGACATCTATGGGTCTTTGCTTGGCTTGTTCCCCTTGCTTGGCCTGCTACTCTTCTTGTTTTACTTCTTCACATCCCCACCATTTTTTTCCTAGGAATACCTCCTAATACACTTTCATAAGAATTCTTATCTCAGGATATGATTCTAAGGAATCCAGGCAAAGACGTGGACCCTTCTCACTGTTCATGTTTTCATTCTTCCTCTGTTATCCAAATATGACTACCATCAGTAATAGGTAGCCCATGCTAACCTGTAGGGTGCCTTTGTATGAATTCATAAAAGGTGTTCTCTTCTGGACAGATGGATCCCCATGCCCCAGGCAAAGGATCAGCAGGCAGGTGTTCAGTGCTCACTGGCCCCCTGATCAGTGCACCTTTGGCAGTGCACATAGTACTAGCAATCGTGGTGGCATGGTGCTCAGAAAAGCAAACAACAGAGTTGCTTAGTTGTCCCAGGATCTTGTTTCTTGGCTTCTCTTTTTTCCTAAGAAAAAAATCCCTCTAAGAGGGATTCCCCCCGCCCCTTTTTTTCCTCCTAGTTTTGTGGAAATTTCCTAAATATTTGAGTATTTCAGCCAGATGTTTTGGTTTTCTTTGGACAAGCTGGTTAAATGTCTTAGTTTCTTTCTAAAGCCAATAAAGGGGAGGAAAAGGGCTGCTTTGGCTGGTGGAATCTCAGTCCTGCAGCCTGCAGGAGGGTGGTGGTGCCTGGTCAGGAAGGGTGGGTAGGTCTCCACCAGTCTCCAGGAGCTCTCAGAGGGGCCTTGTCCTGACGGTGGGGTTACTGGGTAGGGGCTTGGATGGGCTGCTTTGGTTGGAGGCTTTTGCTTGAAGAGGTTCTCCTTTCCTTGGATCCAGGAGCCTCATTGTATCTGATCTGGCATCCTGAGTTTCCTCACGTTTTCCTTTGGTGGCTTCTTGATAATGTCTAAATGTTGCCCGTCCGCTGGTGGAGCAGAACCCCTTTTTGAAGATGCATATGTGGGGGAGTTCTTTGAAAAGAATGTTTTTGTTAACTGCTTGGTAATGTAGGTCAGAAGAGAGAAATCTAGGGAAAGTGAAAGAGTGGGAAGAAGACATCTGTACTGGGAGTTGGGGTGGGGAGTTTTGCTCCATCCTCAGAGTTCCGAACCCTCCTGGTGACCTGGGGCAAGTCACTGAACTTCTCTAGGAGCCTCAGTATCTTTGCCATTCATTTAATAACAATTGTCCAGCCGACCTCAGAGTGTTCTTTGATGATCAAAGGGAAAATATTTTCATGGACTCATCCAATGATTATAGAGGAAGCCCAGAAAATCTTTATCCAGAGACAACTGGCAATCTCTTGGGGACAGCGGTGTATATGGAGGCATCAGGGTATGGGCAGCAAGCAGTAGAACAGAGATAAGCACCAGATCAGTGGCTGCGTGAAGGGATGGGGAAGTCTCCAGAGCTGCTTGGGCTGGTTTTGAAGGCTAAATATTGACCCAGAACTTTGCAAAGGGCAGGGTGTAATATTGTGTGTGGTTATGGGGGTGAATCCATCAGAACTGCCTTCACATTTGGGCTCTGACCCCTCAAACCTATGTGATCCTGAGTGAGACACCCACTTACTCTGAACCTCAGTTTCCTGATTGTTAAGATGGGCGTATACAAATTGCTCTGAGGATTTAGTGATGTAAAGCACTTACCAGGTATTATTACAAATGGAAAATATCGTTTTTAAAGTTACCTTTAAAGCTGAATGGATTCAGTTTGGCTGCCTTGTGTCAGTACTTTTCAAATATTACTGGACATCTGGGGATCTTATTAAAATGTAGATTCCGATTCAGGAGGTCTGGGGTGGGGCCTAAGATTCTGCTTTTCTCTCTAGCTCCTGAGTTCTTGTAGATGTTGTTTGTTTAGGGACCACATTTTGAGTGTAAGGCCCTAGGCTACTCCCTCTTGGGTAAAGTCTGAGTCCTTTGCGGGAGCTGAGGAGCGCAGTTTGGAGAGACGTTGGGGAGAGTTCGGGCCTCCCAGGCAGGTCTGGCCTGGAGCTGGGGCAGAGACAGTTGGGTATTGCTGCTGTTGAGTAGGATGCTCCTAATGGGTAGGTGATGGATCAAACCCAGCTTCCTTCAAATGCCCTCGGACCAGCCTCCTGGAGGAAGTTCTTCCTGGCCAAATGGGCAAATACTGCCTGCTCTTGCAGGCTGGCCCTGAGGATGTAGAGATGAATAAGCCATTGGCCCATCACTGCCCCTGCCACAGTGTGATGGGGGGAGTGGGTGAAGAGGGGTGAGACATAGCAATGTACGATTAGGACCTGGTGAGATGAGCACTCTGTGGCGTTAAGGGTAATGGAGAGGGAGGTAAGAGAGTCAAAAACAGGAGGAACACTTCTTTGTGGTCATTATATCTGAACTGGGTTTTTTTTTTTTTTTTTTTTTTTTTTTGAGACGGAGTTTCGCTCTTGTTACCCAGGCTGGAGTGCAATGGCGCGATCTCGGCTCACCGCAACCTCCGTCTCCTGGGTTCAGGCAATTCTCCTGCCTCAGCCTCCTGAGTAGCTGGGATTACAGGCACGCACCACCATGCCCAGCTATTTTTTTTGTATTTTTAGTAGAGACGGGGTTTCACCATGTTGACCAGGATGGTCTCGATCTCTTGACCTTGTGATCCACCCGCCTCGGCCTCCCAAAGTGCTGGGATTACAGGCTTGAGCCACCGCGCCCGGCTGAACTGGGTTTTGATGGATGAAGCACTGCGTCTGGGATTGGAGGAGGGCAGAAGAGTGTGTGTAATAGCATTCTAAGACTGAGGAACAGGATTTGCAGAAGTTGGGTGCCATGATGAAACAGCTTGGTGTGTTTAGGTTATTGAACTGAGAGTTGTTTGGAGCATGGAGTGTGATGGGGAGGACCTGGTTAGGAGGCAGAGCTCAGTTCATAAAGCTGTATTAGTCAGGAGGGTTTGGTAAGGTTTGCTGCAGTAACAAATCAACTTCATCATTTTGGTAGTTTAACCCAAGAAAGGTTACTTCTCACACACAATGTATGTCCCTCACAGTCAAGTTGACAGATAGCCAAGTTGACTAAGCTGCTCCCAGCTTTCAGCCTTGCCATCTGGAAAATGTGGCCATTATAGTCACCAGTGCAGGAAGAGATAGTGTGAGAGAGTCTCTGGCTCTTCTGGAATGAGTACAGTGTTGCTTTTGTCCACAGCCCATTGTTGGGGGGCTGGGAAGTAGGGGATGGGGACTGGAATGGAAGAAAAGGTCAGAGAGCATCAGCTCTCCCACGTATGTCTTGTTATGAAGCTTAAGCCCCATTCTGAGGCCACAGTTTCTCAAATAAGAGAGGT